ACAAGGGGTTTTTCTGGTCTCTGCAGCTGATTGATAGCCCAACTTCCCCCCCTTGTGAATACTACCTACTCCTAACCTTTCTTTCTTAGCTTTCAACTGTACTTCTATCCACACAAAGCAAACATGAATGAAAAGATAGAGTTTGGGACTTGCCAACTACAGTTGCCATCCGTAGTTGGAAAGATCAGCGGTGGAGCTCTGAAGCAATCTCTCTGGAAATCTGTGCTTTTCTGTGTGGGAAAAAGAAGAGAGTGAACTAAGTCCCTGTGGGTAATGAATTACAGTGCTACTGAAGCCAAAGGTCAGCTGTGGAGGAACAGAGAACGGCCCTGTGGTAGTGAGCGAGCAGTAAACCACTGGGTGATGTTCCATGTGAAAAAACGTACATGACAAGGGGAAACAGCCCCAAGTTCAGATATAAAACTGGGGGCTCTGATCTGACCATCACCACTTGGGATGATGTGGAAAAGGTAGAAACAGTCTCGGAAGGATGCTTGTGATAGTGGTCAGAGTGCTCTGGAAAGGGGTGGTGGGGATCTGAGTTCAGAGTCTGCTCCCGTGCAGGAGCCGTGATGTTTCTAATGGAGTGAGTAGAAGCAGCTTCAGGCAGAAGTGATTATCTCACGCAGAGTGAAACTCCTCACCATGGTACATGGGGGTGTCAGGAGCTTAACGGAGTTCAAGGGTAGACTGGAGAATACAGAAGAGGCACATCAGGTTCAGAGCAGTTTTGAGCCACAGGTCACTGGGGTTTGGGGAACTGCTTGCGGGAAGAGTCACTGCCTGCTGGAGTCTCCTAGAAATCTGGGATTGCCTGGTTCTGATGGAAGATGCGAGGCGGGTGCAGGTCTCCATTTGCTTTATAAGGTATAATGTGCTAGATTATCTCTGCAAAAGGGTCCTTGTACCCAAATCACCTTCTGAATACTCTTATGAAGTGCTGTGTGTTGGTACTAGACAGCTCTGAAACAATCTTACTGTAAGGCGAGAGTCACCCCTTCCTTGAACGTCTGGAAGACTTCATGAACCATGATTATACTGAGTAGACTTTGTGACAGCGTGCAGTAAAGTGTGCATGTGCCAAGAACGGGAAGGTCTGGGGAGAAGAGCTCAAACTGGAGCACTGTTAACTCGGCCACAGTGTGAGTGGGCCCTCAGCTTTGGCATCGGTGTGCTTGGGAGAGCGGAAGCAACACTTGCAGTCCTCTAGCTGAGTTGTACCCCTGGTGCTCCCGCTGCAGAGTGCTTCTTCAGGCAGTACCATTCTCTCTGTTGCTGTGTCAGGATGCTGCTGCACTATCGATTCAGGGTGGAGAGTCCCCCATAGCTGCTCCCCCACATCACACACAGTTGCCTTGGCCATCCAAGGTAACATACTTAGCAGACTCCTCTGCCTCGTCTAGCTTAAGGTTTTTCTCATAACCAAATCTTGTTTTCTTTAGTCTAACAGATGGTTTCTTCCTGTTTTACTGAACAAAAGTTTTGGGAACATAACCACGCTGTGCTCCTTGCCTGGAGAAGATTACAGTGGACTTTGGGATTCATTTTTATCTACTCTGGTCAGCAGATCCATGCCACATGCCTCCCTCTCCAGGGCAGGCCTCACTCTGGAGGGAGCAGATTGCCCTCTGCATCCTAATGCAGTTAGTGTAGTCAAACCTGAACAAAATGAAACATGAAACTCATTCCTCTGTGGGCTGCTGTATGACTTTGGTACAAAATGAATGGAATTCTGGCTGATCTCTTATGGTGTTGTCTGCATCACAGACTCCTTCCCCGCAGGCCCCAGGAAAGGCTTTGGGAAGCACCTGCAGTACCAGGCAGTTGGCACTGGGGGCCTGCCCGGCTGGAAGGGCTCTTGTGGCTTGCATTTGTGCTTTATTTTTTGTTGCCCTTCCCAAAGATGTGGGTTCTTTGTTAATCGTGTGTGGTGCAGCAGTGGCCAGAGCTGCTGTGATGCACATAAGGATTATGGTATGTAGTGGTAACTTCTGCTTTGTCTCTGCTGGGGTGCAGGACGCTGCCTCTCCCAGCAGCTAGGCAGGTAAGGGAGGTGTGCAGGGAAATGGGCTGCCACGCACAAATGAGAGGGATTCCTTGAAAATAGCAGTGCTTCACCTTGAGAAGGGAAACTTTGCCTTTTCCTCCAATTGCTTCAGACCAGTTAAGTGCCACAGTGCTGAGCTGTGCGAGCAGGCATTGGCACCTTGCGGATACAAGTATATCCCTTCACATCAGCAGTGTTGTCAGTGTCACATGTTTGCTTTTTCCTCTTTTTACTAAAGGAGTGCCCAATCACTCGGATCCCCGTCAGTGCCTCCAGTGTATCTTGCACCTATGTTGCCCTGTGTTATAGTCAAACTTCTTCCCTTTTACTCTGGAGACCCCAACAGCTGAGCCAACTTTGGTCCCTCTTAAAAGAGATTCTGTTGTGAAATGACATCAGCCTCATACTGTGGTGCTCCACAACCATCTCCACACAGCAGGTTGTTAAGTCTTGTTCTTTATCTCGCTCTCCCAGAATGCCCAGGAGAAAATAATGAACAGATACTTTTCCTTTTTCAGCACTTGCACTCTAAGGACTCTCAGCAAGGGACAAAAGAGTATGGTATTTTTCCTGTGTCTTATATTCCTTCATCCTGGCCAAGGATTTGTTACCCTTCATGCCTTGAATTGATGTTTGTAGGCCCTTTGTGGCATAGGTAACCTCCCTGGACTGCATGGAGGGTTCTTTATCTCTAGTAGCTGTTACAGCAGTCTCTGCAGCAGTGCAACCTGGTGGTGATCTGGTCTGCAGCCTCCTCATACTGCATGTGGCTTCACTCATCTGCTGGCTCATGCTCCTTGCCTCTTGCAGAACTGGGTTAGATGAGCAGATTGGAGCAGAGACTTTCCTGGAGGTGACTGGAACAGTGGCTACGCTTAGCAGATAATCCAGGTTGGTCTAGGTCTTCTCCTTAGATGCTGTCAAGCTGTAAGAGATCAATTATAGCCTGCCAGTACACAGGGCAGCAATCCTGACACAATAGTGCATCAAGAG